CATATGTGGTTGTATTATGTAATTTTATTACATAATATACAATGAATTATTGGAATCCATACCGTTGTTAGTAACTGAACAATTCTAGAAGCATTAGACTTTAGTTATAACTTGATTATATCGTTTATTATGTTTTAAAATTGTTTTCAGCCTATTTTCACATTTTATATCTCTGAGACTGTTTAAGATTATACACAATCATGCTTGATTTGATGGGGGATTTAATTAGTCATTAATAAAATGAGCAAATGATCCCCATCCATTATGCTATTGTGTTGTCATGATTACATTAATGGAGAGGTTGGTCTGGTAAGACGGGATGTCTACCTTGGGGGCTGGGGATCATATCACCTATGAGGTGTTTAGCCATATGAACTGATAATGTAATGCATTACTTTATCTGCGGATTTATATGTATTAATGACTTGTTATGAGACCAACACAATTGAAGATCTTTGAAAAAAAGTAAAACCTTAGATGAGTATACATTCTCTACTTCAGAAATCTTTCTCAAGAGAAATCCAAACAAAAATCATCAATAATTGCTATTTTCTTACAAACTATTCGCAAACCAGTTCTAAATCCTCCAACTTTTAATAAGCGATGTCAAATCACTCCAGTTAGCAACAGATGCGAGCGTCAATTACGGTGGATTGGCAGTGTCAAAGCTGAATTGATTATAGTTTACCAACTTTGGAAAGTCATTTTAATTTATGGTGAACCCACCTTAAGTAATAATTTTAATAACAAACGATCGCGTAATACAAATAATTTTACAACAAGGAAAAAGGATTTTAATTTATTCGAGGGACAATTTTATTATTGATATGTTGGAGTAAAAAGAAATTTGATGTGAAGGTCCATGGCATAGTATAGTATTTCATTGTTGAACGATTGTGTTAGTGAGCTACAGTCGTTAGTTTTGATATGATATTTTTATAGTCAATAAACGTTTACATCAATTTTATATATCCTAATAATATTATATGTATAGGCTATATACATATATTAAAAAAGTAACATATTTTTTTTAACAAAAAGTAAAGGTTTTTATATGATAAGGAATTCTTTGTAAACGAGTTTTGATAATTATAGTTGTATTCATTTCCAAATTTTCTCTGAGTTGTGTGAATATTTTATTGATGCTGTAGATAGAAAATCTTCGTATATTCAGGCTTAGGGTACAACGCCTAGTCAAAGTAAACATATTCCCACTATGATTTCCCATTATTATAATACTTTGCCTTAGGAAATGTACGAAATGTTTGTTTATTCTATGAAAAGCCAGTATTTAGCGATATTAATTTGCCAGTAACATATACATTTACTATATAAAAATACATAATTAAGCTAACAATAAAATATTAGACACATTTAGGCCATTAAATAAGTTGTTATGTGTAAAATGTACAGCTAATTTGAATTTAAAATGTAAAGAGATGTACATTAAGTCTTAATTACCTAATACTATTTTTTTTGTTAAGAAAAACATTATTTCTGCAAAAACTGCATAGCAAAATTATTTGACAAAGTCAATTCAGCTTAGGCTTAACCAGATACAAAAAGTTAGGAATTAGCTGAAAAAGGTGTGATACAAATTTTGACAACTAAACATGTATGTTTATTAGCTTACTAAACTCATAATATTGTGCACAATGAATCAAAAAGATCATTTGCGTAATGTTTCATGCATCAAAATTAGATTAATAAAAACAATATCAAAAAATAATAAACCATTTAAAACGTAAAATGTTTCTGAATAAATAAACGCCAAATGAATCAACGAATTGTTGTGGTTGTTTAATGACTACAGCGAACATGCCAAATGTGAGGGACGAGAGCCCCTTGTGACAGTAAAGGGCCATTCTGATGACGCAGCTTCTAGTTTTACACACCGCATCCTATAAAACATAGTTAACCACCAATTAATCCAAATAGTTGATAAAACAAACATACCTAAATTTCCCTTACAAGTATGGGGTGCTGAGTGAAGGGTACTTGCCACAGGTCGAAGGAGAAAGTCACCAGCTTGTTCATGAGTTAAGTCAGTAGCTCATGGATGAAACAAGAGTGAGCTTTTCATGACCATCGGTTTTTTGTAATAAGTTTTAACGATTATTTTACTCTACTCGACACTTCCCTCACGTTTATATTGGGAAATTCAAATCGTTTCCATAGGACAGATACGTGTTTAGTTGTTATTTGAAAAGGATGGTTTTTAGTTTAAATTTGGTTCAAGATTAAAAAAGACATTTTGAAACTTATGCTAAATCATGTCTTATGCTAACTGTAACCCTTCACAAGTGTGGTATTGCTTGGTTCTTTCGGGTGAAAATCAAAACTGGAATGTCAAAAGAGATAAATGATTCAAAATCACGTTCTGTTCCATTAAGAGATTATGGTGGCAATCTGGACGGAATCAATTTATTAAATATATTACAAGAACTTGAAATGAAATCTCAAAAGAAGTTGCAAGTTATTAACTGATATTCAGGTCTGCTAGATTTGTTTGTATGCACCGAACTAGAATGAATGAGGTTATCTGGATTTGTTCCAATTGCCCTTTGAACCAAGGACTTGTGGTTTGCCTTGCCCTTCCATATTTTACTATCTACTGGCACACCTTTTACCAATCCCTACCTTACCTACACTCTACATTCTTGTTTCTTTTTTCCAAATTCTAACTTATTTAATTTCATTTCTTCCTTGACACTAATCATCATCTTTACCCACAACTACATTTATATATACCTATATATCAAATTCAAATTCAAATTCAAATTTATTTATTTGTGATAATACAAAATCTGGCCTCGCCAAGTTTGCAAAACTTGTCGGCGAGGTCCAATTGATTCACAAAAATGTAACAAACAAAATTTACATTTTTTTTTCTTTTTCTTTTTACAAATATAAATATTCTAGCGCTACTAATTCCATGGCGGTTTGTGGCAGGCACCTATCTAAGCTACATAATAATGGCAGCAGAAATGTAAAATTCTAATATGGTTTGAAAAAAATTGCTGATTTATAATCAATGCTTCATTCCGAAGTCTTTTTTCTCCTGGTTCATAGACCAGGGGTTTCTAAATATTGAAGAGGCAGTGTCTACTGGAGAAAAAAAAAGTATTCGTTTGTTTGTCGTTTGTTTCTTGTTTCCTGAAAATTTGATGAATTGAGACATAACCTCTCACTAAGAAAAGTTATGCCCATGCAGGCATTTATTTATACAAAGCGGAGAAAAAATAAAAAAAACTAATATGTTTGAGAAGCTTTCTTTGATATTTTCTTCCCTAATAGATGTCTTTTGTACTGTGTTTCTGATGTGGTGGGTTTTGTGTGTGTTAGTAAAAATTGTATTTAACAGTGGCTGTAATTGTGTGCCTTAGTTTAGTGCCAAAGTTTTAACCTAATTTTGTGAAGTGTCTTATTTATTTATGTGATATGTGTGTGTTTTGTGTCCTATCCGATGTAGTTAGATGCCAGCTTGGCCTAGTCGTTTTTATTTTGCCTGGAACATGATATTTAGGCTGGGTGAACCTAAGGTAAGTTTACTTCACTGCTTGAGAGCCATTCAAATACTGCTATCTTATAGGCTTTTTTGTTCTGTATATTTTCTATAGTTGTTGGTAGCCTATTAAACAGGTATGGGACCAGATACTCTGCCAGTCTTTGCCCATACATAGTATTAGGTATTGGTGTTATGTATTTGATAACATTTCTAGTTTGTACTGGTCTTCGAGATTTGATTTTATATACACTATTTCCATGGTTTTTAATTAACACATTATAAGTGAAGATTCCCTTTGGTGCAAGTAATTTATATAGGCCTATGCAATATTTAGTGTCAACTTGGTTATTGTTATCCATTCTAAGACCCAAAGCCCTTAAGCATCTTTTCTGTAGGTTATTTATTATTTTCAAATGGCTATTTGCAGCGGTTCCCCACACATTTATGCCATATCTCATCACTGATTCAAATAAAGACTTGTATACAGCTATTTTAACCTCTGGTGTAACTTTATTTTCTAAATTGTACATCAGTGCAGTACATGAACCTAATTTCTTATTCAGCGCAGCTACATGGTTTTTCCAAGTGAGTTTGTTGTCTACTGTAAGGCCCAAATAATTAGTGCTGTCTGTGACCTTTATGTTACTACAGTTGCACTCTTTTAAACCTTGTAGACAGTCACAATCATGGTATTTAATCATAACACTTCCTTCTAGTTTAATATTTCTAGGGTGAAAGTGCAGGATACAGGTTTTGTGCTCATTAATAATTAGCCCATTATCATGTGTCCATCTGTTAAGTATGTTAAAATCTTCCTGTAAAATGTTTACTGCATTTTTAAAGTTTTTATGACCTGAGAAAATTAGGATGTCATCAGCATATGCCCATATATCACAATTGGTTATCATGTTTAGTAAATCATTCAAGTATATAATGAACAGTATTGGTCCAATTTGGCTTCCTTGAGGTACCCCATATTTTATGTCCTTTTCATCACTAAATTCATTCATAACCTTCACTACAAACTTTCTGTTTTTAAGAATCATTTATATATATCATTTATTTATACTATTATTTATATATAACTGTCATAACTTTACAAAACTACGAAGGTACTGTACCAATTAAAACAAAGCTAAGGTAAAGAGTTCAAAGTAAAGTTCAATTCTAGTAAAGACATTAATTTGTAACTTTTTAATTTTTACTAGACCAATGTTTCAATAGATTTACAGCTAGACCTCGAAACATAATTTCAACCAACACCAATTAAGATTACCACCAGTGAAAAGTAAAATTAACAACTTTACGGCCAAACACATTCCACCTTTTCTACCACATAATTGGTGGTCTGAGATCAAAGTAATGTAGAAACAAAAATAAAACTAATTACTTGGGTTTCGGTTATGTTCCTGCCTCCATTCCACATACAGGTACTTTCTTGCCAGATACCTCTTTTCAGTGTACAACACATATACAAACATGTTTTTTGCAGGGGCTGGAGGTCTGAGAGATGTGGTGATCCGCGTCCCCGTGGCTGTCCCTACAGGAGCGACCGCCTCCTTGCTCTGCCTCTACGACCTAGAGGGCGACCAGCTCTACACTGTCAAGTGGTACAAGGGCAAGCAGGAGTTCTTCAGGTATGTGCTCAAGGAGCTTCCGCACACCCGAGTATTCGCACTGCCTGGAATAAATGTCGACGTAAGTCCACTGGCATGATTTGTGTCGTTTGTGTTTTGGCATACAGTTATACTGTAGAAATAAGTGGGATGTTTTTAATATGAGTATCTTTTTTATGTTCTTTCAGCATTAGAGTTAGAGGCTTTTAACAACGAAGAAGTTAGCTACAAAGACTAGCTCAGAATTAATGTTCAGAACCATTTTATTATATAGGTATGATTCTTTTCCAAGTAGGTGTTGTAGTTGTCTTAGTTATCAATCACCAATCATGTTTTGAAGGTGTAGTATTTAAATTGACCCTATAAAAAAATCATAAAGATGGATTTTAAACACCAATCGGTCAATCAAATGATAGAATTTTGTACAAATAGTGTTTGCTGACTATGGAAAAAATTGGGGAAATACACAGTAAAACCAGGAGTTAAGACATATGCATATAATCTCTCCGATAGCATACTTACATACAACTCTCCTAAACATCCCTCCGATAACATACTTTCAATTAATTAAAACTCCAATGACAGCGTCGACACAGACGCAGTTTTTCCCAATGATAGATGTATCGCAAACCCCCTTTTCGATTGAGACCAAGATGTGTTAGGATGCATATTAAATCTGCCACTTGTTCCTAGGTTCTGCTTATACATTACCATACCCTTCAAATGCATAAGTACTCATTAGAAAACTAATTAAACATAGCCAGAGCCTTAAGTTATAGTGAAACTAATAATATATCTATTGAAATAAAGAACATTTATTGTATGAAGAAAGAATCGTATTGTAGGTGCAGTTGGTAGTTAGATATGACGTGTAAATCTACTAAAGTCAGATACAGATCTGTGTACAAGGCTGTGACAGATTGACAGCTGTGACGTCACTGGTCGATACAAGGCCACCGAGAGTTCGTCATTCGTCTAAATTATTGAAACCGTCTCCTCTATTTAGTATATACTAAATATCATTTTAATATGAAACTTTGATTAAGTTTTCCGTTTAGTATTAATAATTAATTCTTATCAGTTTAAATAGCAACACATTACGTATTTCGAACTTTTTACAACAAGACTGTATATGACAAAAGCCATAAAATACAAAAAAGGATGTAGATATTTGAAACTAAAGCTTTTGGTCATAATTCACTGGTTAGGTTAGGTCCACTGGTTCTAGTATCGTTGCTACTGGGCATATACTAATGATGTATAGTATTTAGACTCGACTTTGGCTCGCTAGGGATCCGCCATAACACCCATTTTTTGGTTAGAGGATTGTAGAACTTTTCCTCAAGGACAATTTGTTACTGAGGAATTCTTTTTTGAGTAAAATAATAATCCTAAGTTCGTAGATAAACACTGAGCACTGTAAAATTTCTTAAGCAGCTGTTAATGCAGTTTCTAAGGGGGAGTTACAATTGATGAAAGGTTAAGTATTTAATTTGTAAAGGGAAGGGGTTGCACTTTTTAAATTAAAAATTTTTCAAATATAAGCACTCAGCATTTCTCAAGTCTCTACCACATATTGAAGGGGTTTACAAAATCAGCTATACATGATATGAAAGCATTACATGGGGGGCTTCTATGGTATATATGTGCGTGGGGGGGGGGGGGGGGGGTTCAAAGTTTTTTACTGAGGAGTAGTTTATGGGAAATGTCCAGCAATTCTTGACATGATAGATTCCCGACGTTGGTGCTCTAAAAATATTAATTTAACAAGGCATTAACTGTAAAACTATATTAGTATAGAAATGAAGCTACGGTCTTAGGAAATAGAGGAAGGTACCGATATTTTAGATAGTCTTAGCCCCATTTGATGGCGGGGGAAAGGAAACCATAATCGTTACGAAGAATGGTCTTACTTCAGAGGCTGACGTCACTGTTTCGATCAAAACATTAATAGTTAAAAGTGCATGTATTAGAAATGTTATTGTTATTGCAACCAGTCCCATTTCTGAAAGAGGGGGGGGTAAGATAGAATATTAGGTTTAACATAAATTGCAACTTTAATACGGGTTGCAGTTTAAAAAAAAAATCATTAAGGTCATCAAGACTACAAAGATTCACACAAAAATCAAACTTTTCATCAGGGACGTCTAGGTTAGGTAAGTTTTAATTACTGTAGGTTTTTACATTTTTTCACACTGAAACACTACCTGAAATGACAAAAGAAATACGTCAAATAACACTTTTAATAATATATTTACACTTATACTGTTGACTCACAAGACGGTAAATACATATAAAAGATGGTAAGTGGTGGTCGATTTCAATTGGACATTCCAATCATCATCATAACCGATAGGCGAAGTCGATAACTGAGTAATCAATAACTGAGAAATAACTGAAACACAACTCTTGATCCCTAGGTGGTGGCTTCAGGCACGGAGATGGTTGTTCTAGAGGATGTGCAGAGGTCATTGACGGGGAAGTACAAATGTGAAGTATCCACAGACGCACCTGACTTCCATACTGAGATTGTCTCCGCCTTCATGCACGTTGTTGGTTAGTCCAGCTGATTTCATAGGTTTTCTAATATTGTGTTCAATGGTCAATCAAAATTTTTGGATAGCAGGAAAAAAAACACATTTGAAGTATTATTGCTCAATTAATTGCAGTATATTGGATATTCTAACTACTCTTTGGACATAAGGATACTTTAAAATGTATCTCCTTTAAAAATATCTCGTAATTAATTCAAATGTTTGTATTAAAAGAATTTTTTTTAATGAAAAGAAAACAATTGCTGTTTTCCTTTGAAATGATATAATGTTGGCTGAAGAACAGCAAAGCCTAAGATAGGAGCACAAGTAGGATCGAAGAGCCCTTAACCAAGATTAAACATCTCTCTAGTGTTCTATATCATCCAAACACACACCATTAGAGTCAGTTTGAGATTTTCTTGCTTTTATTCTGATCAATATTAGGGGATTTATCTTTTGAGACGAATAACATGTTTTCGATACCTTCTCGAATAAATAGTTTTTTTTTTTATAAATATATAAAAATATTAGAAGACATCTAGATTATGGTCTTTGTTAACTATTTCCAAATATACTGGATGACAACCATGTGTGTGTCGTATAAAAATAACATACACAAATTTAAAATGCAAAACTAAAAGTAAATAGCTAAATGTTAAGGAGGAGGATCAATAAGGAAAAAGTAATAAAAGAATGAAACGATTCTAATAGATTGTTTTATGCAACGTTTTGCAAAATATTTGTTAAGCTGTTATTCTAAAAAATATGTATGATATTTTCTCAAACATTTTGTAACGAATAAGGTATTGCTAATGAATAGAATACATGAATATAGGTATTCTAGTGCTATTTCTATGTACAACATCTGTGTAAAACTTTTCTTGAGTTTTTAGGTTATACAAAATTTATTTATATAATTGAATTGTACGGGATTTTAGTGGTTGGTAAAAAGATAATGTTAAAAAACTGCCATCTACATGGCCTTTCACTGCAGTGATCAACTGATCATTATGTGAACTGATACGTACGAGGTTCTTCCCTGTCTCAAGGTCGACTCAGAGTCGTTAATTAACAAAATTAACAACACATGTTTAATGTTCTACAGACGAGCTACAAGGGGAGCCAAATATAAAGTTAGAGAAGAATAGCTACTCTGTGGGAGATGTTCTGAGAGGTAACTGCTCCTCACCTCCCTCCAACCCTCCAGCCAACGTGACATGGTACCTTAATGGAGAGAAGGTGAGATGTTGTATGTAATGTACTGTGATACTGACAGATAAGTCCATACACAAGTAGTTACTCTGTAGGAGATGTTCTGAGAGGTAACTGCTCCTCACCTCCCTCCAACCCTCCAGCCAACGTGACGTGGTACCTTAATGGAGAGAAGGTGAGATGTTAAGTGTGCTGTACTCTACAACTGACAGATAAGTCTAGACACAAGTAGCTACTCTGTAGTGGATGTTCTGAGAGATAACTGCTCCTCACCTCCCTCCAACGCTCCAGCATACGTGACGTAGTACCTTAATGGAGAGAAGGTGAGATGTTAAGTGTACTGTACTCTACAACTGACAGATAAGTCTAGACACAAGTAGCTACTCTGTAGGAGATGTTCTGAGAGATAACTGTTCCTCACCTCCCTCCAACGCTCCAGCATACGTGACGTGGTATAAGGTGAGATTTGAAGTGTATTTTACTGTGTATGTAAATTTTGCCCACAATTAACTCAAAGCAAATTGGCCAAAACAATTTGAAATGCCATATTTTTTGTACGATAGATTATAAACAAACACAATAGATAATACCACTAGTGTAATGAAAATAAGATTGTTAATCCTGCAGCTAAACTTTTTTCATTGATAATAGTCGTAGTTATAACTTTTTGCTGGCTTTTTAAACGCCTGAAGCTTTCGAACTATAAACAGACGATTACACATCTATTACATTTTAGAATTATTATATCCGTGAATTATCATTGAGAATCATTATTCAATTTTAAATACAGCTTAAATCATCAATTAATTATTAGGTCTATTTATAAAAAAATATATTTATTAAAACCTTTAATGTATTACCCCAATATACCGTCGTCACGCTTTTCAATAATTTATATGTAAAACATGAACTAGCTAATAGAGCTTACTGAGATCTTCATTCAATCTTTTGTTTTATTTCAAATCAATACCTTTTTCTATGGCAATACGATAATGATAAAAGGGGGAACAAAGTAATCATCTACAACAACTCTATGGATGGATTTTTCATCATGGCCTAAACGAATGAAATCTCTACACTTAGAATAGTTCAAGAATAGAGAGCTTCGCCTGGAACCAGAGCTACAAACACTACTTGTTCTCTCTTTGGCGTTCCAATATAGTTTATAGACGGTTGTTCCGAGCTATAAAATGTCTCAGTACGTCGTGTACATGTCACAGGCGACACTCATATAAAGTGGACTGCCTGCAGTGGCCAGAGATTTATTTGGTTTGTGTTTATATACAAGAGTTATGATCTCATTTCATAAATGCTGCGGTGATGAACGCACATGGCGATGCCACTGAAATACGAGATAGTATTACCGTAAGATGAATCTTTATTTGGCAAGATGAAATAACTCAAATCTGTTTTAATTGAACCAATAAATGTAGGACTTTTTTACTGACTACCAGGTATTCTACCTAAAGGTTTTATCCAAATTATCGTTCTTAAGAAATACAGTGAAGATAATTACCCAGTCCAAAATTGTAATTAGTCTCTATGTTCCTCAGGAAGAGCCTAGCCTGGTGACACACCAGTCAGGTCTCAACGGCACGGTGACAGTGTCTGCACTCTCTATGGAGTTGTCTGCTGACAGTTTCCCTGGGGGCAAGCTGCAACTCCGCTGTATCGCCGACCTCTTCTCCATCACCCAGACGGCTAGAGAGATGTGGCTGGACGAAGACAGGCCTCGGATTGCGTCTGTCATGGGGTCACGAGACTCTGCTGGTGAGTGTGACGAAATGATTTTGTTTATATTGTTCTAACAACCTTAATTATCGTGAAAGAAAGCTTTTGGAGGTATTTTGACATTAAAAAAGACATTGGGGGTGGTTCTTGGGAGTGATCTGGAAATGCAATGATACTGAGAGCCCAGCAATTACATGTTGAGTGGCTCTGCGACAAAATCGCCACACTTCAGAGTACTAATATTCTCCGATATTATCCTCTTTTAGTTTACTGGGTGAAAAGAATAAGCAAAATTTAATTATGCTCTTGTATTTCATGTGTATTAATTCTCTATTCAAAGTAATACGGTTGGTAATTTAACTATGAGGTGCAACAAGTTAGAAATCAGCAGTCACTTCTAGAAGATTTCCTATATGTTTTGCTATGTAAATTGTAAAAGTGGTTTCTTGACGTCCTAATTAATTTACATGCTATAGTTCAACTGCTGGTAGAAATGGATATATCTTTGATAAACTGATGTCTCTTAGCTTAAAAATGTTTTCTGAGAAAACTTTTAGATTTTAGTCCATAAGAGCACCTTCTAACCCATTATGTCTCTGTTGTATAGATAGAAGTATGGCCAGTTCTACATTACTTCTACAGACAGCGCTTTTAGCACTGTTAGGCTGCAACAGATAGCATCATGTCTGCGAGATGTAATCAAATGGCTGTGAGCTCTTCGGACTGTGTCTACCTGTGTCCCGGTGTAAAACATATGTATATTTGTCAATACCTGCTGTATTATATGAGTGTTTTGTAGATTAATAATTAAATTTGTTCAATACCGTTTTATTTGGTCGTCTGTTTCTTTCATAACCCAACCCATACCTCTGACTTTAGATTGTTTCCTCATATAATTAATTACAATTAGTTGCATGATTGTATCGCGAGCATAACCTGTAATGCCTAGCTGTCCTGTGTCCAAAGTGATCGTAAGATTAACATTAAATTAGACTGACCGGTTCGTTTCCCATGAACCTGGTTATACTGTGTATTAATAATTAGTTCCAATCAATGTAGATATCAATCGCTTATTCCTTCCAGTCAGAGTAATTTTATACGAAAAATAACTTAAATTAGGTACCTGAAGTAGTAAGAAGTAGTAAAACTTTTTATCTCCATACAAATCACTTTATCTCGAAGCGTAGTGTAATGTTTTGATGTCGTTATGAATAAATGGAAAAATAGATGTTTTAGTCATATATTTGATCAGAAAGAATTAATGTTACGAGATAACGTGGTAATGGAAGTACAGTTTCTAGAGGTTTAACTAACTAAGGAACACTTATAAAACAACCACAGCTACATGCATATATAATTATTTTGGTGAATTCGTATGTAATGGTTCATTGAATCACGTACTGAAAAAATACAAGCTAAACGAAAGTGTAACATTAAATGTATTTTGATGAGCAAAGGAATAACAGTAAAAGAGCTTCTTAAGAAGTATGATCAAAGTAAACCTCAAGTAACTGACCTTTTGTATTCCTTCTTTACTCTTGTACTTTGATGGCTATGAAAGATTTGTAGCTTTCTAAATATATCAAAGTAAAGGTGCAAGAGTATTTTCGGACTTGAATCAAATTAATTGTTACATGATTTAGTATTTTTATTGGAAATTCTTGATGTTTAGCTCGGTATTTTGATATTGTTAAATAAACAGCTTTCAATATACTATATATGCTTCATTTAGCTGTTCCACGTATACAGGGTGTTCAAACAAGGTGGATATAATTTACCTGTTGTACAATTCCTATCACACAACCTAAAGTTGAAAAGAAGTTGTCCTTTTTAGCTGTACAACTTCACTAGCTTTGCTTTATTCTGCCCCATTTTACAAACAAAAGCCAAACCATTCCTCCCTATCTGGTAATAGTGCTTTAACAGGCTTTCCAAAGCAGTATTTTTTGGACATATGGTCTGAAGGCAGGTCCAAAATATGGCTATAAACCACCTGACAAATTTTACAGTTGTTGTTTCCTGTAATTTTCCATACGTTTTTGCATCTTAGGCTTTGTTTTTCTTGCTTCCACCTTAATAAAAATTTCAATCAGTAGCATATCAAGCAGACAAAAAAGGGCTGCTCCAGGACAGCAGCTTACTGTCCCAGTTATCATAAGACCAGCAACTACTGCTGAAGCTTTGGCTGCTGCAGTACATTCGATGTGTTTTTGTGTGTATAAATAGTTTTTAGTACGTCTTGAAGGTGGATTAGAAAACCCTTTGATAAAATCATGTGGCTCTACATCATAATGTTCATCACCATGTCATGCGTGTAACATGTTTTTGTAATTTGTTATATCAATATATATAGTCTTATATATTCATTTTATTTGAAACTGATTGTTTTATGCATTAAACTGGTAGTTTTAAAATAATGGTGGTTCCGTATTTTAATACAGTGCATTATTCTTAAACAATTAGTTTAAAATAACTTGAGACTTTTGTAGTATTATTAAAATTATTCGAGTTTTATAACAACGAAACTTGGCCATTATATTAGTTGTGGTAGGTAGCGTATGAAAAGTATATAGTCGATTCAAAAATCATGCATGCCAAAATAAATTTAAGTCCGCATATTTTAAAAGGACAAATAAAAGTTTAAAAGGTTCAAAGGCAGTTGTTGTTTATCGAATTAACTGAAATTAAACAATAATAAAGTTCTTACAAAATTCAACATACAAACAAGGTACATACATGATAATATAACATTGCCATACATGAAAGTAAATATTATATTACATCGTTTTTGACTTTATATAACTAAATACTTAACTATGGACATAACTTTAAAATGAAGATATACAATTTATTGTGAAAATGACAATTGTGATATTGGCTAGTCGTCAAATCTCCTTATTTGTCCTTGTGCATCCGTCTGTTACTATAGTTGGCGAATGTGCGCCTCAACTCATCCAAGTTATAGTAAAAATCTCTGTATGGGAACTAGCACATTGACAAGTTTTTAGATCTTTATTACCAAAAGGTACATTACCAATAGGCAATAAAAACGTTTGTAATGAGAAATTAAAATAATAATGAGTAATATTCAAACTAACCTTCTCTTATTTTTGGGTCAACATTTTATTTGAACAATTCATGTAAATATGAAAAGATCTAAATGTTTATTTTCTATCTCGTGGGTCTTTATGGAACAAAAGTAAAATTATTATAAAACGTACGTAATAAATTAAGCTATGAAAAACGCTTGTGGCTGTCTTTTTTATTCAAATTAGTATATTTCCTTACTAGCGATTATATCAGTGAACCACAAGCAAAACCTTAGGTGTGTTGAGATTATGAAGCGAGATTAAGGGGTTTAATCTTGTTAATGTTGAGCTTCCACCTCGATTATAATTTTGTCTTACACGTTTACCTCCAGCAAAACGAATCTTATTGAACTATGAAATCATTTTTAACAGTTTTGTAGTAAAATTTCCTTAGTTGGGCAGAGAATATAGATACATTATCGGTTTAAATTTTCATTCGATATAAATATATAGATTAAAAGATTTAATGGTTTATAAATATTTCCTGTCATGGGTCGTCTCAAAAAGAAGGCCAGCCGTGATCCCTTTACAGTCGCTGTGGCGTTTAAATTATGCTATTTTAGTTCAGCTTATTTAATGATAATGACTAACAAGGTGCCATTTATGAAATTTACTGTACCCAAAATATAAAAAAATTATAGTTTTTATAAACTGTTTGCTAATTTTGCTTCTTATTCCTTTACTTTAAACCAACTTCCTTTGGTTATAAATCCTACCAGAAATTATACAGAGCCAAAAAACCTCATGCTTTCAGAATGTGATTTTTAATAATTAGCTATTGAAAGTTGATTATGGGATTCTGAGTTATCTCAAAGCTATTTAAAAGTTACTTTTTAATTAATCCTTTTATATACTAATAACATTCAGAGCCAAAAAGGTCTCTTGACCTGGACTCAAAAGTTTGCTGATGTGCTCAATTAGTTTTGTAAATATTTTACTATGGTTTATTTTGGTTTACAATACCAACTAATGTTTTTGGTTATTTTGAAATTCGTAGGATAACAGTATACACATTTTTAAAATGTCGTGTGATTCTTACCATGCAACTGAAAGTAAATCTCATCATTTAAAACTATGAGTCTAGTTAAATATGCTGAGATTTTAAATATTGTACTCGTTCCTCAACAAACATAGGTAGAAGATAAAAGAATACTTTTTCACAAGACTTTTTAAATTTAAATTACATGTCTTTCTTCAGTGGTTAAGACATATTTTAAGACTAAATTGTGTCTAAATGGTTGGTACGATAAATTCTAAAGAGCTAAATGAGTGGATAAAGATTTAGTCCATAATACACTGTGAGAAGTAACCAGAAGTCATTAAACAGCACAAAGCCAGACTTGTACTAGTTAACTGTCGGTCATTAGCTCTTGTGAGCCCAGCAATTGCGGGAAATTTGGGCTTTGAACATTCCAAATGTTGTTTTAAGAAATTAAAAGCCCCTTTCTTCCAATTGAACACCTATTCTACAATCTAAATACTTGTCAACACATAAAACGTACTAGATTTATAAACATAGTTAAATTTGAAAATTCTCCTATTTTGAGAATATTTTGGAATCTTCCAAATAAGAAATAAGCTATTACCGTAAGCCCCATGGTGAGACCTGGACCGAGGACCGATTTACTTTTTCATTTTGATAACCCCAGAAGCCAAAACACCATCCGTTTAAATCCACTTGATAAACAATTATTAGCTTTTGATAAAGCTTTAGTGTAAACCTGCAATTACGAGATTAATTATTAAAAAAGTTTACGAAAATTATGATTGAACCATAAGAACGTGTTCTATTGGGGGCTTTATGGGGAAAAATTAGTTGTTGGTTTTATTTTTGAATATCAAAAGAAAAATCTTCAATTTCTCTCAGTACAGAACCATTTTGTAGAACAAAAAAAATAAGTATATTGAAGCACAGTTTTACACTTAATGGCTATGGAGAAAATACCATAAAATTGTTATTTTATGCTATTTTATTTGTTGTTTTTGTTTGTTTGTTTATGGACATATTCTGATCAGATTTTGCAAATTTACACATTTAATCATAAGCTGTTAAATTAAAATAAAATACAACTTATTACCTGCCCTGTAACAGCATGAATATGTATTCGTTATTTAAGTGGGGAATGCATCACTGGAATATTTTAGATTTTATTTAATAAACAACCAATTAGGTAAATGGAAATTCGCTTAGTCTGCAGGTTTGCTGTGTCGAGGGTATCATTGTATGATGCTGCATACATAGATAGAGGTAAGTAAAATTTTCCCTGAGTATACTGTATAGCAATTTAAGCTTGGTCTAGGTTAATGTATTTCCTCTTAGAAAATATGTTTTCGAAAGGTATAATCCATTTTGTAAACAAATGTGATTGAAATAATTTCTAGCGAGCGATATAAAACTCAATTACTTCGTCGGAGAGATTACTTTGAGCGCTGGACCGATTTTCTAACAATACAATTGAAACAGCCGATATCCAGGCAAATCACTAATCCATTTAAAATAATTCCCTTATTTGTGCTTGCTTCAACGCTCATCATTCTATGCTTTCTACGAATTTAAATTAACGTAGGTAATCAAAGCTTGGTTCACGAATATTAGAACAGAAACGGTATGGATCATAAACAAAATTAAATGACATCACTGGCCCGAATGTCTATACTAA